CTGGGGACATCTTGGGCGCAAAGGCTGATCTTGGAATTCTATAGTTTTGAACAAGGCACAGTGACAAGAAAACACCAAAGTTAATTTCCCCAAGTTTTGTTCCCGCCAATCACATGCACCTGACTATATGCTTCACAGAGGCCTCTAATGCTGGTATGTGGGTGTGTGATAGAGTATACCCACCCCCTTTCCCCAAATGGCTCTTGTATGACACCCAAATATCACAGGAAGGCCAAAGAAAAATAAAAGACAAGCTGATAGAGGAAAGGGAGCACTGCATGGAGGAGAAAATGTAAAGCCAGCCAGTCAATATTTACCCTTAGAAGAGTGTGTGTGTATGAGAGAGAGAGAGGGAGGGAGAGAGAGTGCACCCCGCACCGGGTGAGGGAGCGCTAGCCAAGAAGCAGGGAGAGGGGCTTGAAAGTGGCCGCTTGTGAGGAGCTGTTGATTGTTTTCTGGTTGAGAGAAGAGGTGATGATAAGGCTGGGATGCGGCGAGCGCCGGCCGGGGCAGCGAGCCGGCAGCTGTATGCTAATGCTCACAGAAACCAAGCCTCCGCATTCCCCATTAAAGCCGGCGGCCAGGAGGCCACACATCACTGAACAAATAGGCTCTCTCTAGACAAATAAAATAACACACGTTGGCCTGCGGGGAGGGGGGAGAGCCAGAGGGGGAGAAGGGTGGGGGGAGAGGGAGGGAGGGGGAGAGGGGAAGGGAAAAGAGATGGGGAGAGGAGAGCCGGGGAGGAGAGGGAGGACCGGCCAACGGGAGGGGAGAGGAGAGAGAAAGCGGGGGGCGGGGGGGGGGGGAGCTGCAGGCAGAGAACCAGAGAGAAAAAAGGAGAGAGTCTAAGGGAGAGAGAGAGTTGAGGGGGTGGCGAGACAGAGAGTGGGACCAGGGGTGTGGGGGCGAGAGTCAGGATGTGAGAGACAGGAGGGAGGCGTGGGGAAAGAGGCAAGGGGAGTAGAAGAAGGAGGAAAGGGGGCACAGGAGGGACGGGAGTGGGACAGAGGAGGAGGGAGGCCAGAGATAGGAGTCGCAGGGAGCGAGAGGGGGGTAGGAGAGGGATAGTGGGCGCGGGGATTGAACACTTACACCCAAACCCCAAAGCAGCCACAAGAAAGGGGGAGCTGAGGCCAAGGCGAAGTGTGCGCCCCTTCTGGCCCGCAGGGGCCTGGTCACCTCTTGGTCCCCCCTGGGGCAGGCGACGAGGAGTAGGATCGGAGTCCCGTGGCCTTTCCGGTCAGTTTTTGCTGGGGGTGCTGTCGCTGCCTTTTCTGAGACGGCGGCGCGCGGGCAGTGGGGCCGCCGCTTCACAGGTGCAAGCAGTTCCCTCGTGCGCCCCCACGTTCAATGTCATCCCGGTCCGCTCAGTGCCGTTCCAGCTTTAACTGGCATAATTCTCTGCTTACGGCTTTTCCACATTTTCTGGCTTTGCCAATACCACCCTTCCCGTCGCGGGGCCCGGGAGCCTCTGGCCCCCCTCCCCTCCCACAGGGTCCCACCCGAGGCAAAAACAAACAGCCCCGAGGGCACTTCACGGAGCGTGCGGTGGCCCCGACGGCACACTGGGATAAAAGAGGCGGCCAACCACCCCGTCGGCCCCCGGCCGAATAATGGGTGCGCAGCAGATTGCCAGGGGCACTCGAAACTCGAGGGGAGGGAAATACTTGAGCGCGGTCCCTCCCCGCGCCCTGCGGAAGGCGCAGCCTCGCGGATTCTCCCTTGTTCGCTCTCTTTCATGCACTCTTCTTTTGTGTGGAATTATTTAAACGAGAGATCCATGGCAGCTTTATGCTAATGTGCCGAACAAAGGCAACGGCCCGCGGGCGGGGGCCGGGAAGGTGCCTGGAGGCCGGACCGGGCCGGGTGGGGCGGCGGGCGGGCGGGCTGCGCGTGTCTCTCGCGTGCCCCTGGGACTGACACAACAACCCCTCATTCCTGCAAACACAAAGCCTCTCCCCGGCTCGGGCCCCGCGCTCGCCCCGCGCACTGGGGCGCGGGCCCCTCCGGGACCTGACGGCGGGTTCGGCGGCGGTAACGTGCGGTTCAGGCCGGGTCGAGGCTGGTGGGCAGGGAGGGCCTGGGGTGGGGCTTCTGTGAGTCCCGGAGAGGGGTCCCCAGCAGAGTGGGGCTAGGGGTGTTGGCGGGGGAGCGCTGTCAACCCCCTCTCGCCCCTCCCAGTGTCTCTAAACGCGCTGTGCGGTAGGATTGCGGACCCTCCAGTCTCCGCCTCTCGGGAGCTCAGTGGCCACCTGGACAACTCGACACCCCACCAGGCAATTCCTAGGCCGAAATCCCCCGCTTTGGCGCCTATATCCAAGCTTCGCGCTTTCAAGAAACTCCCCGGGGCTAGAGTCTTGAACTGGGGTTCGCAGTGAACCCCGGCGCGCTCCCCGACGGCTACCTGAGACACCAGCACCAAAAAAAAAAAAATTTTTTTTTTGAGCGCCTGCGGCCGTCAAAGGAAGAACCCGCAGCGGGGTCTGCAAGGACCAGAAGCAATGAGACTGCCGAATGTTTCCAAAGCGCTGCCAGGACCGACCCCACAGGAAGGGGAGGAGTCTCCCGAGGCCTGGGAAGGACACTTCGGGGACCTGCCTTGGATCCCCATGCTCGCCGACTCCGGTGAAGCTCCTCTGGAGGGAGGGAAAGCATGCTCAGTGTTTCCCCGACCCAACTCCACGCGGCGCCCACTCGGAATCTCTGCGTAAAGGCCGGCCGCCGGGGCACAGCGTGATGGCGCTTTGCCCTTCCCAGAAGAAGACAAATGTTTCGACCCGAAGTCCCCATAGGGATGGGGGACTGCAGGCGCGCAGATTTTGAGAAATGAGATCACTCAGAAGACAACGGAAACTTACGAGCAGGTGCAAGGCTGTACCTACTTGGAGGTTGCTGGTGTGTGCGTGCGCCCTCAGTCTAATTCTTCCCCAGTCCTGAGACATGGAATTAGTTTCTAATACTAGCATCTTTCAAGTTTCTATTTATTTTGACCGTACTCGTCTGAAAACAGATTTCACTTTCCCTGACAAGACTAAAAACCACAAACTAAGCAAAAGATCCATTGAATCTCAGTATCTCAGTAGTGTTCAATAGATTCTCTGGGCTTAATACAGAACCCGTTTGAATTCGCAGCATTCAGGAAGGATTTTGCTTTGGTTTGGTTTTTTTGCCCCCCCCCCCCCCGCCCTCTTTACAATTATGGGTGTTGTTATTTTTAAAGGATTCACAAGGTGACTAACTCGCTGTTATCTGTTGAATGAAAGCAGTGTTACACATGCAAGACCAAATACCCCGCAGTCAGTTGAGGACGGCAGGCCGAGCCCCCGCCCTATTATTCCACAATCCAGATGGGATTCGTGATTAGAAAATAAAATTGGCCAAAGCTGTCCCGGAATCCCTCTCCTACTTCTAATTTCATCGGCAGTATTAATCAGCGTTCAAAAGAGCAAAGGAAACAACATCAGTTACTTTTAGATTGAAACATATTTATGAATTTTAGATAAACTCATTTTAGAATTTCTAACTTTTTTGAGGACTAGCATTCACCGCAGTTAGCATTTTTTAAAAGGAGGGTGAGAGCTTTCAAGATATATTCCATTATATGTATTCTTCTCTTTTAGGTCTGAGTTAAAAAAAAGATCACAAACATAAAATCATCAAACATCTTTCCTTTTGATTAACCAACTTGATTAACCCTTTGATTAACTAAGCCTAACAACTGTCCCCATTACAACTTATTACTCATGTGGATTCTAAAAAAAAAAAAAGAGTCTGCTTAATTTCCCCGCCAGGGTATTTTCAGAGGGAAAATCCAAAAACAATTAAATACCTTCAGTGGCATTAAGCATAAGCAAAACTCAGCACGATCTATATAGGAGCACAGAGCTTTCCAGAAAAAATGTCCGTTTCCTTCTCTCTCAATAAAGTGACATTTTCCTCACAACATAATGACATTTTCTGCAGCTTTGATTTGTTCCCTAGTGATGGGTGATCAGGCCCACTATGCACTCTTGGGGTTCTGCCCCGGTCCCCCGGAGATTCTGCCTTTTGTGTTTCCTTGGGGCTGGGCTGGGAAGAGGATGAAGGCAAAGGGCCCGATCTGGGTCCAAACGGGGCTGCCGGGGTGGTGGGTAGGGGGTTGTGAGTGTGTGGATCTTCGCTGTTGTCTCTTCCTGGTGGCAAGGGGGGAGGCAGCTTGTCCTCTCCGAGGCCGCAGCCTGCCTCTGAGGACAGATTGCCCCCACCTCCCCCCGGCCGGCAGCACGCGTCTCTTTTGCGTCCAGATTGGCCGCGACCCGCGCTCAATAGCCGGAGGTTAATTTCCTTCACAAAGGTGAAGGGGGCACGGCTCCGGGGGGGCCCTCGCGCCCAGACAGGCGGCCCCTTTATTCCGCTGCGCCTTGATTGGAGCCCTTGATTTAGCATCTGATGTCAGCCGGCAGACAAAATGCCCGCTCCGAATGAAAATGCATGAGGCGGCGCAAGGAGAGCGGAAACCAACTTCAGCCGGGTGCACGCGGCCGACCGCGCGTTTCGGCCTTTGGCCAACTCCTTCCGAATCAGCCCAGCCCAGCGCCTCGCGGAGGCTGAGTGGCCTGGACCGGGCTCCTCTAAGGATGCCAATCCTTGAGCCTCGGAGAACTTAAAAAAAAGAAAGAAAGAAAGAAAAGAAAAAAGAAAGTTCAGAAATTCATGTTTCTTTTGGAACCCAGCCTAACTTGCCCCCCCCCCCGCGCCCCGCCCCTGGGCTGCGTCTGCTAGCGATTAAAGAAGTGCGGTGCCAACTGTTTCTAAAACTCAAGATAAAATCTTCCAGACGCACGCGGGCGCACGAAGGCCGCGAACGCAAACATCGCCCCCGGCTGCAGCCAGAAGGCCAGATCCTCTACCCAAGTTTGGAACCCCAGGGTCCCATTTTCGCTTGGGTCCTGGGTCCCGTGGCCCACCCGGCCGAGGCTCTCGGCCGCCCGGGCTTTGCCGCTATTTTCGATTTTTGATTATTTCCCAAACACCAGGCGGAGTCCCTGCGCCTCCCCCGACCCCTCTCCCGCCCCAGCAGCCGCACTCAGATCTCCCCCGCGCCTGCTGCTGCCCACCGCCGCCCCTACCCAATCAGCGCGCACAACTTCCCCCTCCGCTCGGGCTCGCGGATTGAACCCTCCTGACATATTTGGGACCATTCTTCTCCTTTGTTGCTATTTTGCTCGCGACCCGCGGGTAATCCCCGCGCGGGAGGGGGGCGTGCATTGTCGTGCTGATGGACGGGCCCATTTGGCGGCTCCGCGCCCCCCGGAGGAGAGACACAAAGCCCAGGCACGTGCGCCTCCCCATAGAGGAGCAGCAGACCGTGAAGGGAGGCGGGGCCGGGCGTGTGCCTGGGCCGGGCGGGGCGGCGGCGCCGGGCGGGGCGGCAGCGGGGCGCGCGCGGGGGCCCCGCGCCCTCAGGTACATCTGCCGCACCTACCGGGCGACCCCCGAGTCCCGGCCCCCTTTTTGCCGCCCCGTCGCCCTCCCACCCGACCAGGCGGAGGAGCTGCGGGCACGCTGATTGGCTCCGGGGGAAGCGGGAGGCGAGAACAATGGCCCCCTCCCCCAGTTAAAAGGGAGCGGCTCCCGGGCCCGGGGACAGGGACGCGCGTGCAGGGCGCAGAGCCGGGCCGAGCCGCCGCCGGCGCCACGCGAGTCCCGCAGCTGCCGCGACCGGGCCATGGGCCGGGGGCACTGAGGGCCGCTAGGGCCGAGCGCGGAGGTGGGACCGAGCCAGTGCCTTGCCCTCGCGCCGCGCCAACATGCCCCGCGGCTTCCTGGTGAAGCGCAGCAAGAAGTCCACGCCCGTGTCCTACCGGGTCCGCGGCGGCGAGGACGGCGACCGCGCGCTGCTGCTCTCGCCTGGCTGCGGGGGCGCCCGCGCC